AAATCATATTAAAGATCATGTTTTTTATACAAGCTGTAACGCGAGAGAAAAATTAGCTTCTTAAAACATTCTTTCTAAGAGCATTATATTTATATACATATTTTTAAAGCTGGACTTGAACCAAACTGTCAAACTTTTAAAGTTTAATTTACATGGTGGTTATAATTAAAGTTTTGATTTCAAATGGTCATAAAAGGAAAACTACCGGACCAAATGTTATCAAACTTGGGAATCGTGTAAAGGAGGTTATAGGAATTTATTTTACGGGCGAAAAAAAGAGTTCAAAAACTGACCACCAGGGAAAAAATGGCGCTGTATACAATATTGTTAAATGAAATAAGACATGAAAACATTTGTTTAAAATGTGTTTAATAGTTTCCGAAACGTGTTACAAAGCATATTCAGTGTATCGTCCAGCTTTCCCGAAAGCAAATTAAATCCTGTTACTGCATTCTAAACAGCAGCCATTAGCATATCAGGAGGAATGTTACGGACATGTCAGTGTATCACACTTTACATTTCTGCCATATTGTTTATATTTTCACCATAAACAGTGCTTTTGAGATAACTGCATAGCCAAAAGTCACTGAGGCTGAGGTCTGGTGGGAAGAGGGGAAATGTTGACTTATAAGACGTTCATTCGTGAAATGTTGCCTGAGTGTGCGACACACGTGAGGTGGGGCCCAGCCTTGCATAAAGATCGTAGTATCTAAAATGCCACGTTACTGCAGTTCATGTATCACGAAACATTTTAACATTGACTCTAAGTGAGCTGTAATCACAGTGGTCCAGCTGTCGACCGCTCTTCAGAGAAAAATGGTTCAGTTATAAAACTAGCTGTCATTCAACAGTAATCGGTGTGGAATGACTGCTTGCTATGCAAGCGAATGCAGTAGGAGAATGCAATGGAACTAGGTAGATAACATGAGGGATTTCTTTGCCCAAATCGATTAAAAGCGTTTTGAATTAGTATCTTCATGTTTTAGGGCCGAATTCAGGCTTCAAAAATTACAAATTAGCAATCTGTAAGAAAACGATTTTCAGACTGTACGCACTTGTGCGAGTGATTTGTGATCTCACATTTTCTAATCGGTAATTCGTGGTTTTCACACAGTAGTTTTCCTTTTATGACCCTTTCAAAGTAGAACTTTAATTATAACCATTCTGTATATTATTAAATTTTAATTTGAAGCTATGTGTTATATGTATACCATGCGTAAATTTTTCGGTTTTATGGAAAAATAAAGAATCGAACCAAATATACTTAGGATAATGGACCAAAACTGAAAACATTTCCCCTCCCTCCGAAAATAAAATATTGAAACTAACTTTGACCTTAAATTCATTGGGTTATCGAAATATTTAATTTGACTTATCTTCTAAGTCCTAGTGTTCCGACAACAATTCCGTCAAAAATCCCGAATTACTTAAGCTGAAGTAAAAGATTTAGTATATATACACTGTATGTTAATAAAGTAATCAGAGTGTAATAAAAATACATTATAGAATTTACGCTGATGCAACATTTTGTCTGACTGCACAACACGTAATGGAAGAGAAGGCTTGTAGAGATCTGTTTTTGGCATGCCTCTAAAAGTAGATTGTCATACTCCTTTTGTCTCTTCAACGTCAAAAACTTTCCTTTGGGAGGCAACTTTAGTTTTGGGGAAGAAGAAAATAAATCGCAAGAAGACAAATTTGAAAAACATGCAGGACTATTGAGTACACATACTTATTTTCGGAACACAAGCGGTTTCTGCGACTGGTTATTGAATAATGAAAAGATACATTGTCATGCAATACAAAACATTTGGAATACGTTTTTCTGACTTAAAACGTAAGATTAAAAGTCATCTGCTTAATTCACAGCCATTTACAAGTCAGCTACTCGGGCAATTGCAGAATCGTTTTGATCCTGAGCTTGTAAGACAAACCTAATATCACTGGATTTAAACAATTCTTTGATTTTCCGAGAACGTTCCTTCTTTAGCTCATATTCCAAGAATATTCAGTGAATACAATTATTGCAAAAGAAATCGAATATTCATTTGCACTACGGTGCTTTCTATGTTAAATAACCAACTAACGTAGTTTACTAACGAGTTACTAACGAGTTAACAAAACTTAAATTCTGCTTTTTGTGTCTATGAATACAACAATATTTTAAATATTTACAAATAAAATATTAAATTGGAGATTTAATTGGAGCCTCACGAGTTGCCTAGCATTTCAAGATTGTTAAAATACTAATTGTTTGTTGCGAAGTCTAACCCAGGCTGCATGGTTGGTTTTCGTAGTTTTGTAGGTTCTCTTTACAAAGGTTCTCTATGAAAGCATCTTAATCAAATAGCTCCCATGTTCTTTCTACGTTCAAATAACCAACTAACCTACATAGTTTAAGCGCGATTTCCAAGTAAAGTTACTAGCAAAACCCGAATATTCATTAAAAATCATGTAGCTTGCCAATCGGGAGTAACATGAAAGATACGGCTGCAATAATTGAATTGCTGTTACGGTACGCTGTTTCTAAACTTAGACGGTTATTTCTTAATTGAATAGCCCACCAGCGGCCAAGCGGTAAAGGCGCTTAACACTGGTGATTCGGTCCGAGGTTCGAATCCCGCGAACGGGCTGGCCGCATGGGCGTTTTCGTGATTTTCCCCATGTGTAACGTGTATACGAGCCAGTTTTCCTTAGAACGTCCTCCACGAAAGCATCCATCGCTTTAGGCAGATAGCTTTTCCATAACTGAATAATATACTAATCCTTCTAAATAAGTTAATTTTTCAAAGTAATAATAAAATGAATAAGAAATTCTTTTGTGATATATTAATGATTGACCTTGTTAATTAATGCTAAGTTATAACAGGTTTGTTGAAAATTTCCGCGAAGTTCTCTGCTAATATAACAAAGTTATTCAAAAGCTTTTAAAAATTACGTGCCGTTGAAGAGCATATTTTGCAGTGTTGCGTGTACAGTAAAGTATTTGAATAAAATCCATTACACAGAGGAAAAAAAATATGTATTTGCGGTAAAGAATATTTAAGTCTATTTATTAATATAAGATACATATCCTCACTACTTCAGTTTATCACTGAAACTGAAGTTTCGTTTCGTTTTACTAGATATGTTTCCATGGGTACGCTGAATAGCTTTGGATAAGACGTCTGATAAGTGATAAAACAGGAATTTCTGTTAATTTTGAAATCAGTTGTTGCTGAAGTGATATTAGTCCCGGGGATTTACGTTCAACAAAAAATATGTATTAGATTCATCGTCGCAGTTCTTATAGTATGGTTCCCGAGATCTACCGTTCCTCGCTATGTGAATTTATTTCTGCTAAAGAGACTTTGATTAAATTCACGAAATCGTTTAATATAGGAAAAACGTATATAGCATTTTAGAGTCTTCTAAGTTAAAAATTTGGCATGAGGCAATATCAATTAAATTTTATTTGGCATTGTGGCGGTGACTGGCGCTCCGGGAAATTCAGTAGAAGCTTTGGGCCTTCAAATGAGTGGAATCTTTCCATTCGTCCAGATGTTTTATTAAACACGAAACGTTTATGTCTACAGAGACGAAATCCTGGGCTACCACTTAAGCTAAAAGGCCATTTAATGTTAAATCCAGGAATTTTCAGAAATTTTGAAGCTTCTATGGACAAGCTAAGCACTTTCATTTTCCTTCCAATTTTTTCTAGGACGCCTCATTTTTACGCAGATCTTTATATAAAAATTCAATTTGAGGTAACTGAAATGGAACCTTCTGATGCAAAAACGAATGCAAATGAAAAGGAAGTGCAAACTGATAGTGATTTCGATATTTTAAATGTAAGAGGCAAGCCCATAGCAACAATTGACACGAATTCTTTAACCAGCTTATCTCGGGATATGCAAACTATGTACGAAGAACATCACCATTCAGACTTCACAGTCATCTGTGGCTCAGAAAAAATTCACGTTCATAAGTGTGTTCTTTCGGCCAGATCTCCAGTTTTCGCAAGCATGTTGCAACATCCAGTGAATGAAAAAGCAGAGAACATAATGATTATACCCGACATCGATGCCGTTGTGTTGAATCAGCTGGTATCATACATGTATACCGGACTCATAAACGAGCTTTCTTATCCCATGGCACGAGACCTATATTCCGCATCCGACAAGTACGCTGTGCTGCAGCTGAAAGATAAGTGTAGCCAGTTTATAATTTCGTCTCTCTGCACTTCCACAGCTGTTGAGATATTAATTTTAGGAGACATGCATAACGATATTATACTCAAAAATTGTGCCATTAGTTTTATTTCCGACAATTTTGAAGAGCTGAATACTACCGAAGCATGGCTTACTCTTGTGAAAGAGCGTTCCCCTTTGGCAGTTGAAGTTTTGTCTTCGGCGATGACTCACCTGAAATCGAAATTTAAGAATGGAAAATAATTCATTATTCCTTTTAACTGATGATACATTATTTAATGATTAGTTCAGTGTAGCATGGAGTTTTGTTTTGGATACCAAATTCTTGCCTTTCAGTGTTTCATCTTGAATATTGTCGTATATAAACAAATATGAAATGGTTTATCATTTTGATAATATTGTAGCATAGATATGCTTAGTAGCTATTCATTTATTTTTATGTAAATTTACAATTGATTTTCAAAAGTAAGTTTATATTTATTTTGCCTGTTCCTAATATTATTTAGTATGTTCATTGATAAATTATGAATGAAGATCTGGGTAAAGTGATGGAAGATATTTGCAAAATTTTTATTCGAATATCAAAATAAATCACTATGGTATCAATTACTCTTACGGTTTACTCCACAATCATTTGAAAAGGGATGGATGAATAATTATATTGATTTAGTTTTAAAGTTATTTAGTTTTAAAGTTACGAAAACCCTAATACATTATACTAAATTTTAAGCATAATGATATTATTAATAATTGGTTCTGTATTTACATTTTAATATCTTTTACATTTTGGCTTTCTTTTCCGGTTATGTTTGGTTAATGTATATGTATGTGTATATATATAAAGTTAAGTTGTAAGAACAAACGAAAAAAGACCTATATATGTATGCTAAATGTTTGGGTTATAAATACTTCATGAAATTTAACTGCAGCAGATAAACTTTAAAAACACAGGAAAATAAAGTATGCATAAAAGTTAATAAAATTAGAATTTATGTAATTTTGTATATTTGTTTCGTAGAGAGATTTTTTTTTAATTGCGTGCTTTTCATTATTCTAGAATAGAATAGAGACATAGATATTCTAGACATAGAGAATGTTTTTTTTTTTTTTTTTTTTTAAATGGCGTGCTTTTCATTATTCCAGTTTTGAAATTATAATATCTTTTATAAGTATAAATTGTTCTTTAACTTGATAATTGATTGCTAATAACGGATGATATATATATTAAGAATAGAATAATTTTGCACCTTAAAGCAGAGATATCGTTTCCAATGGCTTTTGAAATCCTGTTGAACAAAACCATAAATAATATAAGGATGAATGTTGTTTCATTTCACTTTTTAAATTTATGTGCTTGACTTCTTGCAGTGCTTTGATGAATGTTATAGCGTTTTTTACATATGTTACAGGTATTTTAAAAATTTATAATAATTTTCTCATTTTAAAAGGCTTCTACTTCGAGTAAAGCTTACAGACATATTAATAGCAGCTTTAAACCAATTCGGAAAGGAAAGACATGATTGTTTTTGCTCATATTAATTATATTGATTTAATTTACTTAATTATACTTACGTATAATTATCCTAGTAAATATTAAAATAAGGATACTTCAAAAATTAAAGTAGAGTTTCTAGAAAATATTAAAATAGCAGTGTTTCTGGAATGAGAAACTGTATTATTTTGTTGAAACATGTGGATGCACGAATGAGTGTTTTTTACAAATACAATTATTACCTGAAAAATGTCATAAAAATGTTCCTTGTAAAACTAATGGCCTGACGCTTCATTATTTTAACTCGAAGAATTTTCTGAAGAGCCCATTTTTTATTTTTCTTTGGTAACTTTACATCAAAAGAGCTTAAAAAATTTAAAGAGAAGACAAAAGGATTTTAATATGTTGCAGTATGTATATAAATAACTTCTATTAATCATTTCCTTGCCCACCAGCGGCCGAGCGGTAGAAGCTGTTAAACACTGGTAGTTCGACCCGGGCTTTGAGTCGCGACCTTCCAGAGGGAGAAGGCCATGACACTTAACAAACATGGCGGAGCTTTCCGTCCGATGTTATCGTCGGAAAGTCATCTGAATTTTTTAATTTTCGTCAGAAATATAACTTCATAATATTTCCGACGAAAATATTATTTTAATTAAAATAGCTGAAAGAAAGGAGGTTTTATATACATACACACTTTTTAAGCTTTTACAGATATTTTAATTAACTTTGTGCATAAATATAATTGAAAGAACCGAAAAACAAACGAACATTTTTCAAAAATTTAAACTCTAATTGAAAATTGCCATTGTCATGATAAATTGGGAAGAGGTTCTTAAGATAAGACCTAATATTTTACCTAGGCTCAAGTATTAAATTATTCGCGTTTCAGAGAAAAATATATAACCATCAACTTCTATATCTCCAGCGTATGTAGAGGAAGTACTTTGACATATTTAGTGTATGTGGCAATATTTTAAAAACACATAAACTATGCAATGTTTGAAAGTTACTAGAAAAATGTAACAGAACTACTATTTTCATTTAATAAAAAATCATTTAATGTTTTTAAATAGCAAGCTGTTAAAAGTACAATAGTTAGTAGCAATGCTGATGATTTTTAACACCATTTCTTTCGATCATATGTAAATATATTTATAGATATACTTGTTTTAGACAGACAATGGCAGATTCTCACTGTCCATTTTATTACAGTTTTTCAAATCTATAACATTCCTTTGGGTACTTTTCCGTCGAATACTGCGCAGAAATGGATTTGAATAATATACACAATAGTAGAAACTGCACATTTAAATCTGCTCTTCATTAAATAGCACATAACAAAAAGTTTTTTCCCATTTATCTTGAATTTTTTTGCTATCACAAGCATGTACAAAAATTAACAATGAAAATAGAATATATTCAAATGTAATAATTAAAATACATAACTTGCAACATTCATATTCATACCAAGAGATATACTACAAATTCCAAGAGAAAAATAACAAAACTGCAATTTGCAGTTAAATGTAAAATTTAATGTTTTTAAAAATTATATTATTAAAAATGCAATAATTATGGATTACAATATTTAGTAGTAATGCTGATGTTTCTTAGCACCATTTCTTTCAATCATATACATATTTTTAGCTTCTAAATTTTAGGATAATGGGAATTATAATTATCATGTATATGCTGTTTATTGCCAGTTCTGTATGTTGTTTGTTAGGTTATTTCATTTCAAATATGAATGTTGGAAGGCTTTTGTGTTATAAGATTTAGGTATGTTTCTTGTATGAAATATTTTTATCACATTTATTAGCTAATTTATATAGCATTTCATTTACATACGCTGGAGATATAGAAGTTGATGGTTATATATTTTACTCTGAAACGCGAAAACATTAATACTTGAGCTTAGGTAAAATGTTAATTGTTATCTTAAGAACCCCTTCTCAATTTATCATGATAGTGGTAATTTTCAATTAGCGTTTAAATTTTTGTAAAATGTTCGTTTGTTTTTCGGTTCTTTCAATTATGTTTATGCACAAAGTTAATTAAAATATCTGTAAAAAGCTTAAAAAGTGTGTATGTATATAAAGCCTCCTTTCTTTCAGCTATTTTAATTAACTAAGCAACATGATAAAGTTATATTTCCGACGAAAATTTAAAAAATCCAGATGACTTTCCGACGATAACGTCGGACGGAAAGCTTCGCCATGTTTATTAAGTGTCATGGCCTTTTCCCTCTCGAAAAACACGTTTGAGTGAAGGATGAATAGGGTGGCTGCATGGGTGTTTTTGGGGATACGAGCGCGTTTCTCTTAAAAAGCCCTCCACGGAGAAATCCCTCTCTTTCCGTGTAGTGCCTAAGGTAATAAAATAAAAACATAAGTAAAAATAAAAATCCCTCGCTCAGCAGAGTTAGAAGTTCTTCGAAGTTTATTCTCTTCCTTAGATCAAAATCTTACTTAAAAGCACCATTTTGATTGCCTTTCAGCTATTCAGAGAAATAGTATTACAGGCAGTAAAATAATATTCAAAAAGCTTACATCTGCGTAAGTGAAACGTGTATGTCTTTAAAAATGAATATATGTAAAAATCTATGCAGTAATAAATATTTTCCTTTATAAATAATTAAACTTGTATCATGTTTAGTCAATTATTCAAATAATGCTAAATATAATTTAAATAAGCCTAAAACGTTTACTATCAAATCAAAATTCTAGAGAGTAAGACAGAAAACATCCTTAAAAACGTAACTCTTTGGGTAAAGATGGTTCATTACTATGTTAATAGAATATCACAGTACATCACTAATATGCAATACATATAATTCACGAAGTAATATTTATCGTTTCTAATTAATAAAGCTTTAGCAGTAATTCAATTGTATTTCTGAAATCTGATTTAGAAGTAAAATTCGAAATAATCTGTAGTTGTTTTCCGCATCTTAAAAGTTCCATTAGCAAATCAAAAGCATATTTGCTAAAACTGAAAATATCTATAAACCAGAAAATCAATCAGTAAGGATGTATCAGTAGTTATCAGCAATAAAACTATTATTATTAAATAATTCAGCAAAGATAAACATTAATCGTTATTTTCAGTGACGTGTTTAGTATATACTTCAGTATAAACACATATAAACTGAATATCTGGCTTTTTATGAGTTAAGTTTTAACACTTTGTTGATGCACTGTGTAAATTTGCATCGTAAAAATTCAGACATCTATAAAGTCAGACATCTGCAGAATATGATTGAAAATATCTGCAAAATGTGTATCATTCAGTTAAGATCGTTATTAGTTATAATTCTCAAGGTTATGTCAATAATTAGGAAATCATTTTCAAAGTTTTATTATTTAATTACCGACCGTTTTCCTTCGTTGTGCGAAGTAAATAAGTATAGTAATCGCAAAACATAACAGACATCGTATTTCAACAAAAATATCCATTTCGACCGCTCTCGAAACAATTTGAATGATGTTTTTGTGTGACATCTGTACGTACAGACAGAATAAAAGACCGTTTTTGCCAGAAAAGATTGTAAAATGGATTCAAATTGATTCAGAAGAGATTTCTTTCTTGATTCCTCTACTTATGTACGTATGTCGCATATCTCGCAATATTTTTTTTTTTTTTTTTTTTTTTTTTTTTTTTTTTTTTTTTTAAGTCCAAAGGGATTTGAATCCCGAAGGACTATTAGTTTCGTTTTGGCATTTTGCGTCGGACTCATAAATGTCGGTTCACTTTTCAAACTGTTGCCACAAAATGTTAGAGTCCTGCATTATATTTGAAGAAATTAAATAATGAAAAATCTGCATAAATGTATGTATATTTCACGTATTGTGATAAAACAACGGTACATAGAGTCATCGAATTTTGAATAACGTAATCCTCCAACGAATATGAGCATGTGGAAGACCAAATTTGAAATTTGAAATTTTTGTTTTATGATCGATTTCCTATTTTTAAAACTTTGACGAATTTTTGATTAACAAACTCAAGGATTTCAAAGCGAGCAATGGCAACGTTGTGCAGAAAAAAAACATTTTTATCTCCAGCGCGTGAGTCTCTGTATCGGAAATTCTAAAGATATGCTCGTTTTAAAAACTATTTTGCGAATTGCTGTTGCACTGGATCTTATGGTTTAAGTGCGAGGAAACATGATATTTAATAAAGAAAGGTGGTAACACACACAAAATGTTAAAAAACGCCCTTTGGACGTAATTTAAAATCTGAAACATTTCAGATTTTTTTTTTTTTTTTTTTTTGTTTTTTTGTTTCCAGATAAAAGTCTGAATCACTTTCCAAATTGTTGTCACCATTATACGAGCTCTGCGTTATATTTAAAGAAACCAAATAAGGCGGAATCTGCATGAATGTATGTACTTTTCTCGCAGTGTGAAAAAACAACGGTACCTAGAAGCATCAAATTTCGAATAATAGTCCTAGGATCGAACATGGGCATCTGGAAACCCAAATCAGAATTTATTTTATTA